TTATAGATAGATAATGTAGATGATAGATGATATAGATAGGATAGATAGATAGTTAAAGAGGGAGGGAGGGGGGAGGGGGAGAGAGAGAGAGATTTTCCACTGGAATAAACCTATCCTTCTGCTCAGGGCAATCAAGAATCAAGCAATTGATTAGTTGATCAACTCCAATCTGTAGGTGTGCATTTATTTATTTATTAAATTGATACACTGCCCATCTCACCATCATGAGCAACTCTACATCTTTCCAGCCAAACAACAACAACAACAACAACAATAATAATATAGATGTTTTCTATTTTGTTGAATCATTAGTTTATTCAGCCTTTTGTGGGATGCTCTCAGGAGGGAGGGCTCTTGGGAGGTTTTTTTTTTAAACCCCTGACCCAAGAATTCTAGGGGTGCATATATGCCTTTCTGACCTCAGAGCAGCTATAGCACCCCCAAATATCCAACCGAAATAGACAATCACAAAGAGGAAAAACAAACAAACCAGCAAAGGCGTGTAAGAAACCCCCACTTCTCAATTTAGATAGATAAACCCTGAAAGTCTCTGGTACTTTCCCAACCACTGATTTACAAAATTAGCTTCTGCACCCCAATGAGGTTGTCTGGGGTTGGCTCTTCACGGGGTTCTAATGTCCATATTTCCTTTTCCATTCAGGCCTTGCCTCCCCACTTGGAAAGCCTGGAAGGCTTACAGGGAATAGAAAACCACATCACTGCCACTCAGGACATCCCTCGTCTTTCAAGCATCCAGGTAATAAAGGTAATGAAGGCGGCAGGCCCATCATTAGGGCAGGTAGTCCTTGACTTACAGTAATTCATTCCGTGACCACTCCAAGTTACAACAGCACCGGAAAAAGTGACTTACGATCATTTTTCACACAACCGTGGCGGCATTCCCGTGATCAAAATCCAGACAGTTGGCAACAGACTCGTATTTATGACAGCTGCAGTGTCCCAGGGTCATGTGATTTTACAACCTTCTGACAGGCAAAGTCAACGGGGAAGCCAGATTCATTTAACAACCATTTTACTTAGTAACTGCAGTGAATTCTTTAACAACTGTGGCAAGGAAGGTTGTAAAATGCAGCCAAAATTCACTTAACAAATTGTCCCACTTAGCAATAGAAATCTTGGGCTCAGTTATGGTTGTAAGTCGAGGACTACTTGTATTATGGTTGAATGCAGTCAGCCACATCCAGACTGATTGTCTTTGGCATGTTTATTCAACTATGGAGTCCTTCCCAAGGACCTGAGATGGAGCAGATATGGATATTTGATTATGTTAAATGTCTTGTCGCAGGACCTAAACCGTTTCAAGTAAAGCTGCCTTTTGCAATTGACTGATGGCGGTTTTGTCAATGCCAATGGTTGTAGTCTATAAGAAAGACTCAATGAAGAATTGCTGCTAGAAAAAGTTGAATGGATCATGTACCTTGGTTCTAATTTACATGAAAGCTGGGGCGAGACCGCTGAAGTAAAGGCAAGGATGGAGAAAGCTCGAAAAGCGTTCTTGAAAATGAAAAAGGTCTTCTGCAGTCAAGACATAAGCCCAAGATTGAAAATCAGGCTTGTCAGAGGTTACATCTTTTCTGTCCTGCTCTACGGAGTGGAGAGTTGGTCTCTGACAGAAAGCCACTTGAACTAGAGACTAGAAGCATTTGAAATGTGGATGTACAGGTGGCTGTTATGTATAAGCTGGGTTGACGAAATCAGAAATGAGAAGGTGATAAGCCTCCTGGGAATGCGAAGGGAAATCATCAAAACCATGAAAAAGCCAAAGTTAGAATATTTCAGACATGTGATGCGACTCCCGGAAAAATACGGCATACTTCACTTCCTCCTCCAGGGAAAGATTGAAGGCAAACGAGATCCAGGCAAAAGAAGAACAACATGGCTTCAAAACCTACGGAACTGGTTCAGATAAGACTCAGCGGCACTTTTTTGCGTGGCTGTTGATAAAAATAGGATCGCCAACATGATCACCAACATCCGATGGTGGATATGGAAGGAGAAGGAGAAGGAGAAGGAGAAGGAGAAGGAGAAGAAGAAGAAGAAGAAGAAGAAGAAGAAGAAGAAGAAGAAGAAGAAGTAGTAGTAGTAGTAATAATAATAATAATAATAATAATAATAATAATAATAATAATAATA